CTCAAGTGAACAGCGACAACACCCAAGCACACATCTCAGTGCACGGTGAGCGCGTCCTCGATGGAAGCTCCCAACTCCACCCAGAGAGTCCGCAGGATGGTGGCCACAGGCTCGCGCTATGAGCGCTGGGCCTCCGCTGCCGTCCTGGAGGCGGCCTAGCCGCTACTCGCCGCATTTTGGCACCGTAGGGGACAGAGCATTTTGCCAGATGGAGGCTGGCCCGGGTGCACCGCGTTGAAAGGGACTGCGGCGCGTATGTCGATTGCCCATTGGATGGACATGGCGCGCGCTCGCCACCGGGGAGCGAGCTAAGTGTGCGCGGTGTCCCGAGCTGTCCTCTCTCACCTCGCGCGCCTAGAGGCCGCAGCGGGCACGAAGCTCGGCAGGCGGGCGGCCGTCCCGGTCCACACCCCCGCCGCCCTCTGGGGCACCTCGGCGGCGGCGGCGCCCGAGAGGGAGGCGAGGGTGGAGACGAGCGGAGCGAGCAGCGCGCTGTCGGGCAGCTCCGGCTCCTGCGCCGCAATCTCTTCGGCTGGTGAGAGCGAGACGCGGCAGTCACACACGCCTTCGAGGAGCGTCAGCGCGGCGGCCGCCGCGGGAGCGTGCTTGAGCGGCTCGACAAGCGGCGGCAGCAGCGCCTCGGCGAGCAGCGACGTGTCGAGGCCGAGCAGCGACGCTCTCCCCGCTGGCGTCGCGCTCACCACGGCCAGCAATGACGTCAGCCGGGTGAGAGCCTCCCCCCGCCCGCCCTCGCCCGCCGCCGCGCCGCCGCCCTCGCCCCCCTCCTCCTCCGCCCCGTCGGCGGCGCCGCCGAGCCGCTGGGCGAGGGAGCGCTGGGCCGCGACGAGCGGGCGGAGGACGTGCTCCCTCGCGGCCTGCGCGGGCAGCAGATCGACCAGGGACACGCAGAGCGTCGCGAGGCGGAGGGCGACCGCGCGCGTCGCGGTGCGCGAGAGCAGCCGCACCAGCTGCTCGAGCTTGTCTGCGCAGCCGGCGAGCCGCTCCGACCAGCGCGCCCGCCTAGTACCGCACCTCCAGAGTCTCGAACCCGGCGTGGGTTCAGTCCCGTGGTCGGTGTGGTAGCAGACGCGCGCCGCTCGAGGAGCTCCGAGCAGAGCCGCGCCTGGGCAGCCTCGAGGTCGGCCTGCAGGGACGCGTCCAGGAGAGGTCGCGGACAGGTCGGGGAGAGGAGTGCCCGGGTCAGCCTCAGAGGTCGGCCTCGAGCGCTCTGCCGCGCGTGCCGCCGCACGGGAGGGGCGCGGCGAGGGCGAGGGCGCCGCAACGCACGGCGGGCGGGAGAAGCAGCAGCGAGGGGGGCAGCGCGAGCGGGGCCGAGGACAGGGCCTCCGCGGTCAGCGGCAAGCGCGGCGGCAGGAGGTGAGCGAGTAGCTGCGTGCCGCCGACCGCGGCGGGCGGGGCGGCGAGCAGCAACTCGAGCAACGCGTGGATGCCCGGGGCGCACGACCCGTCTACAAAGAGAGAGAGCGAACGCGCCAGCGACTCGAAAAGAGCGACGGCGGCGGCGGCGCCCACCGTCAGCGGGGGGCACGCCGCCGCGCGATCGAGAGGCGCGACGGCGGCGGCGGCGGTGGCTGCTTGCGGCTGGCGCGCCGCCGCAAGGTAGAGCATCGTCAGAGTCTCGAGCAGAGCGGAGTCGTGGTACGCCGCGGCCCCGCCCTTGGACAGGTGCCAGAGCAGGCAGTAGGCGAGCGAGGCGGCCGCCTCGAGCAGCCAGAGCAGCTCGGCCTAGGAAGTGTCTAGGAAGTGTCTAGGAAGTGTCTAGGAGGTGTCTAGGAAGTGCCTCGAGCAGCCAGAGCTCGGCCTCGTCGGCGTGCGACTGCTCGAGGAGGCGGCGTCCGGCGTCGAGCAAGCCGGCGACCTACGGGGCCGTCCCGACAAGCTCCGCGGAAGGCTCCTAGAAGAGGCGTCCGGCGTCGAGCGAGCCGGCGACCCAGCGCAAGCACTTGCCGCCGAAGAGGAGCAGCGCGCCCTGTTTGCCCGCCGCGGCGCGCACGAGCTGCCGCAGCGACGCGAGCAGCGGGTGCCGGTGGGCGACGACCGCCTCACGGATCGCGCGCTGCTCGTCGTACTCGGAGGGCTGCCGCCCCACCTGGAGACGGGTACGGGTACGGGTACGGGTAGGGCATGGGTTGGGGTAGGATTGGGTCTCGGGCTAGGGCTCCGAGGGCTGCCGCTCTCCCCTGGGAGAAGATCACGTGGGGAGAAGATCACCTGGGGAAGACACGCCCTCTCCCCATCTCTCCCCGTCTCTCCCGGCTGCATGGCTCGTGCCCCACCTGGGCCGGCTCCAGCTCGGCGTCGACGCGCAGCAAGTGGTCGGGCGGCCGGCCTGATGACCCGAGATGGCCCGAGATGACCCGAGATTGACCCGAGATTAGGCGCAGCAAGTGGTCGGGCGGCCGGCCCTGCAGGAGCGCGCACACGGCGTCGGCGAGGCACGCGACGCCGTGCTCCGTCAGCAGCGCCGCCGGCGAGACGAGCGCCTCCAGCCTACGTGCTGAATACGCCAGCCTCGGGGGCGGGAGTACGGTATTGTGGCGAGTATTCGGGGCACCGCGTGAAGACGAGCGACACACATCACAGTGGATACGGCTGAATACGGCCGAATGCGGCGGAGTCCGTGTCCCTGGAGTACAAGAGTACGTGGATTCCGCTTCTAGGGCCGCGAGCCGCAGCACGCATCTCCCCCACCTCTCCCCCATCTCTCCCCCATCTCTCCGCTTCTAGGGGTACGAGCCGCAGCAGAGCCACGCCGAGCGGCTCGTGCTCGCGCGCGGCGCGGACGAGTGCGCGCTCGCGAAGCAGCGCGCGCAGCCAAACCCCGTGCTCGCACCCGAGCGAGGCGCCGCCGGGCGCCGCGAGCGCTCTCCGCAGCATGCCGGCGGCGCAGACAGCGCGCGACAGCCACTCTGGGGAGGGAGGGCCGGAGTTGCGGCCGGAGGCGCCCCCTCCCGCCTGTTCCGCCGCCGCGCCCCCGGCGGGGAGGAGGAGGGCGGCGAGGGCGCCGAGCCCTTCGCGCGAGCCAAGCACCTGCGCGAGATTTGGGGAGATATGGGCGAGACACGGGAGATATGGGGAGATATGAGCCAAACACCTGCGCCGCCGCGTCCGACGCGGCGCTGCCGTCGCATCCTCCCGCCCGGTACAGGGTGAGCAGCGGCCGCGTGACCTAGTACCATACCCTCCACAGTACCGAACCCAGCGTGGGATCGGGTGGCTGTAGGGCGAGCAGCGGTCGCGTCACCTCCTCGCCACGCACGAGCTGCTCCAGCGCCGCAACCGCCTCGCAGCGGACGCGCAAGTACTCAAGTGCTTGGCTCACATCTCCCCATATCTCCCCACATCTCCCCACATCTCGCCTCGCAGCGGACGCGCACGTACTCTGCGACTCGAGACGCCCACGACGCAGACGCGCTCTCGCCGTCCTCTCCCCCGCCGTCACCGCCGTCACCACCGCCTCCTCCGCCTCCTCCGCCTCCTCCGCCTCCTCCGCCTCCTCCGAGTGCGCAGAGCAAGCCGGCCGCCGGCGGGTCGGACGCGAGGGAGAGCGCGCCGGCGTCGCTCGAGACGAGGGCGTGCAGGAGGGACGAGAGGGCAGCGGCGAGCGGCCCGAGGAGCGTGCTGCGCCGTGCGGCGGGCGAGGCGGCGCAGGCCGCGATGCTGCGCCACAAGCCCCCCGCCCGCAGCAGCTGAAGCTCGCGGAGCGAGGGAGCCCGCCAGTGCGGCGGCGGGAGCGGCGAGGGCGGCGGCGGGGCGAGGGGCGGGCACGAGCTGTGCAGGCAGCCGTGGCGCAACAGCGCGTAGTGCAGCGAGCGCAGCGCAGCGAGCAGCGGCGCAGTCATCTTGTCAGCTGCGGCAACCGTCGGCGGCGCCGCCTGTGCCGCCGCCGCCGCCACCGCCGCCTCACGGAACGCCTCGGTCGCCTCCCACAGCGCAGCGAGAGAGAAGAGGCGCCGCAGCGGCGCGAGAAGCAGCGGCGGCTGCGGGCGAGACAGCGTGCGCGCAAGGGCACTGTAGCCGCTCTCCCCGCCGGAACCGCCCTCACCGCCCTCCGCCACCGAACCGGCGGCCGCCTCCTCCTGTGCCGCCGCCCCCTGTGCCGCCCCGGCCGCCGCCTCCGCCTCCACCGTCGCCACCGCCCCCTCCGCGCCCCCCGCCTCCGCCGCCTCCGCCGCCCCCGCCGCGTGCGCCCCCCGCTCGCTCACCCAGCGACGCATCGCGTCTGGCCGGAGCAGCAGCGCGTGCATCGCGAGGAGCAGCCGCCGGCGCAGCGGCGCGGCGGCGAGCCTGTCGCCGGCGAGCAGCTGCAGCCGCTCGACGGCGCCGTCACGCACGAGGGCGGCGCCGGCGAGCGGCTGCAGCGCGAGCTCCTCCAGCAGCGAGAGCGCAACCTGCAGCTCGTGCAAGCCTGCGGGGCAAGAGGAAGGGGGAGATGGGGAGATGGGGAGGCCGTCTGCCCACCCTGCGGGAGATATGGGGAGATATGGGGAGATATGGGGAGATATGGGGAGATATGGAGGGCCTGCCGCGTCGTCGCACACAACGCCGAGCGCGACGCGCGCGAGCCGACGCCAGTCCTCCTCCCGCGGCGGCGGAGGAGGAGGAGGCTGCCCAGCTCCCGCTCTCCCGCCTCCGCCGCCGGCGCCTGCCGACGCGTCTGCGGCCCAGCGCAGCAGGCCGCAGAGCGCGCGCAGCCGCGCGGGCTCGGAGGCGGGGTGCGAGAGCTGATCGAGCCACGTTGCGGGCTGCCCCTCCTCCCCCCGCTTCCCCTCCTCCTCTCCCCCCTCCTCCTCCTCCCCCTCCCCCTCCCCCTCCCCCTCCTCCTCCTCGTTCCCGCCGCCGCCGCTCTCTGCCCGCCGGAGCGACGGCGTGTTGCTTCGAGGACGTCCCCGAGGAGGAGGCGGCTCCTCTCTCAGCTCCTCTTTCAGCTCCTCTCGTCGGCGCGACACGTCGGCCTGCGCCGCGAGCGACAGCAGCAGGGAGGGCGCCTTGCTCCACGCCGCCGCTCGCGACTCGCTCGACGCCTCCCCCGCCGCCGCCTCGCCGCCGCCGCCGCACTCGGCGCTGCGCTCGCCGGCAAAGTCCCCGTTGGAGAGCACGGCTGGCTGCTGCTCCGCTGGCTGCTGCTCCGCCAAGCCGCGGCGCACGTGACGAAACGCGGGGAGGGCGAGCCAGGCGGGCGGAGGCGGCGTCGCCGGTAGCGGTTCTGCCTCGGTGCCGTACAGGCACAGCGAGAGCGGCACCGGGTCGCTGCGGACGACGAGGTAGTCGCAGCGGAGGCTCGCCGCCAGCGGCAGGAGCGGCGCCTGCGCCGACGGGGCGGAGAGCTCCGTGCGCCGGTGCGCCGCGGCGAGGAGCGCGACGCAGAGCTCCTGCTTCCCGTGCTCGCCGCCGAAGAACTCCACGCCGAGCTGCACGTTGGGCGTCTGGCCGACGATGGCGGGGATCTCGGCGTGCGGCGCCTCTCCGTCGCAGAGGATGCGGAAGCTGTGGAGGTGGACGGGCCGCTTGAAGCGGATCTCGTGCACGCTCTGCGGCGTCGTGTTGGGGCGGCACGTGCCGGCGTAGAGGAGGCGCAGCGGCGGTGGGGATGACATTGGGTCGCCCGGGCCATAAGAAAACGTAGCTGCTTCTCGAGGTTCTCGAGGTGGATATCCTTTGGCCGCGTTGGGTAGCGAGGATTGGTGTGACGCGATCCGCCTTGTAAGAAACCACCGCGCGCCGCAGGCGCGGCCCCGAGAAAAGGCCAGACACGAGTGTGAACGGGAGCCCCAGCTACAGCTCAAAATTTCTCTTCGCCTGCGGCGCGCGCACTCGACACTTTTCAAGTCTGCGGTGTTCTGTCTCACTGTCTGAGACTGAGTACTGAGAGAGAGTTTGTTTTGTTTTGTTCTGAGTGCAGTGGGTGGAGGCGTGTGTGCGTCTTCCCGTCATCCAGAGAGCCGACTCGGCGGCAGACTCTGGCATCGCCCTCGCGGACCGCAGCTTTAATAATACCTCTTTTAATACTTACCCACCCCTAGGCCTAGCCTCGAAAACGTGCGCGAAGAAGGGAGAAGAGAAAACACCAGCCCGGGTGACCCCACCCAACCCACCCACCCACCCACCATTTGGGACCTACGATGGGTTCACCCCCCCCCCCCCCCCCACCCCACCCCACCCCACCCACCCACCGACCCACGATCTGGGGGGCCTACGAAGCGTTTACCCACCTACCCACTTTTTCAAGAACGGCGGTCCAGAGGCACGTGGTCTGAGAAAAAACGCAACGCAGGAGGCTGCGGCAGCCTCTGCACAAAAAACCCACCGTAAAGCGGTGACTATATAAGAGTGTGCGTGTGTGTGTGTGTGTGCGTGTGTGTGTGTGTGTGTGTGTGTGTGTGTGTGTGTGTGTGTGTGTGTGTGTGTGTGTGTGTGTGTGTGTGTGCGTGTGTGTGTGTTGTGTGTGTGTGTGTGTGTGTGTGTGTGTGTGTGTGTGTGTGTGTGTGTCTCACTCACTCACCAGTGGGTGGGCTTGGCTGGCTTCTCTTCAAGAAGAGAGCAAAAGTGCAAGAATTTCTTGTTGGCTTCTAAAAATCTCTCTCAGACATTGTGTGTGTTGTCGTGCTAGTGTCTGGTGTCTACTTAGCCCCGAGTAGAGGGGGCGTTCCGCTGCTAGGGGAAACCCGGAGCGCAGAGCTAACCCTCGGGGACCCGTGTTTACTTTACGGCCCTTTCCCTGCGAACGCGCACCCCCGGGGCTAGGGCTCTCTTGCCCGCAACCCGATACCGATCATCCGGCCCGCTGGGTGCGCTTCTTAGCTCCCCGGCCCTGGATGTGAGGTTGATGACTGCACTCCAAGTGCTCCAAGACAGGCGACGCGACGGGGCAAGGCGTGTGTGGAGAGCTCGGCTTGCGGGCAGAGGGCTTCGCGCTGCAGCACTCCCTCGGTCGCCTTTACGTCAGTCAGAGGCCTTCACGTCTGGCGGGCAGTTACTGGGCGCTCGGCGGGACCCGCTTCCCCGAACTGTCTCGGAAGCTTCCTGTAGGCGACGCGGCCCTGAGGGGCTGGAAGATCCGGCCAGGAGGGCGCCTGGGTCTAAATTTAGTGCGTGTGAATCGAGTGAATGAACTTTTTAGTGAATAGTGTATTAGTGCGCTACGCGCGGCTTTATTATTTTCCTATTTAGTGTGTGTTCGAGTGCGTATATAGCGCGACACTTTAGCGCGACTTTAGCGCAAATTTAGTACACATTTACACATATTCTGGGCCGAAAAAGAAATAATTGATAAAGCTGAGCGCTTTTGCTTCTGCTATAAGACGAGAACATTTCATTCACGGGTCCGGCCGCCTCGCCGCGCCCTCGCCCTCCGGCCCCCCTCGCCCGGAGTTTGGGTCCCACCCAAACTCCGCCGCGCGGCCGGTCGCCTCGAGGTGCTCGCCGAGCGTTCGGCCGGCGGCGGCCGCCTCCGCCTCGACCGCCTCGGTCCCGCGCGTCGCCGACCAGGCCGCCGCGAGGTGCGCCGCCGCGATGGTGGCCCGCCTCTGCCGCTCCCGCAGTGCGGCCGGCCGCTCGAGCAGCGGCGGCGGCCGCGGAGGCGCCTGGGCGCGAGCCGGCGCGTGGGGTCACCACCCGCCCGAGAATGGCAAGGAGACGGGGTCCTCGTGGCGGGTCTCTCTGGCGCCGCTCGTGGGCGGCGGTCGCCTCTCCGGCCGCGCAGTGCAGCACCGCCTCCTCGAGCCAGCCCGCCAGCTCGAAGGCCGCGGGAGAGTCGGCCGCGGCGAGCTCGGCGGCCTGCTCGGCCAGCTGCCGGGCGAGCGAGACGGCGGCGCCTGCTCGCACTCGAGGCGTGAAAGGCGCGCTCTTCGCACTCGGAGCCGCAGCGGCAGCGAGACGGCGGCGCCGGGCGGCAAAGCATGGCCGTTTGAAAGCGGCTCGGTCGACTCATCGGCGGAGCCTGCGTTGTCGATGCCGGCGGCTGCGCCTCTCGGCTCGCTGGGCTCGCTCGGCTCGAAGAGAGGCAGCGCCTGCGCTCGAGCATACCGCGCGTCAGCGCAGAGTGACTCCAGCGGTGCTGCGGTAAAGCGGCTCTGCAGACTGCCGGCCGGCGGGGGTACCCGTCCCGAAGACGTAGCACGAGGCTCCCGGGGACCGCTAGGTCGGGCAGCCATACGCGCAGCGTTTGCAAGCCGCCGCCGTCCTCAAACGCATCATCGTAGATGCTCTCCAGCGCGAGCGCCTCCTCCTCGGCGCCACCATCGGCGCTTCCCTCACAGCTGCTCTCGGCCAGGGCATTGGCGACGTACGAGTCGAGAGCGGGCGCCACAGTTGCGTCGCGGCCATAACCATCGCTGGAGGCGAGGAGCGCAGCGCGTGCGGCGTCCAACGCCGGAGCGAGGAGCACGAGCAGGAGCCGGACGGCG